GGGGGGGATGCTCAGACACCTGCAGAGACAGGTGTTATCAATACAGAGTGAGGTTTCTAGAGCATGGCTCTCCCCTCGCAGCTGCATATATTCAATGGTTAGAATGTTAGAATGTTGGGTCTAGCCAATCAGAAACCATATGCAAATTAGTAGGTCAAGATAGCTCATGCATAGGCAAACTTGGGCTCAAGCGGCTGAGGGGGAAAAGGAAGGGGCCTGAGGCTGTTAGGAATGGTGGGAGTTGAAGTCCAAAACACCTGGAGGGACCAAGTTTGCCCACGCCTGGTTTAACTGTTGCACGAAGACTCTTGGAGACCAGGGTTCATCTCCGTACTCCGCTATGGAAGCCCACTGAGTGACCTTTGGGTGAATCACTTTCTATCAGCCTCAGCACTAAAGCCAAACACCCTTTGATCAAGCCTTGCAAAACAAACAAACAAACAAACCCTGAAATAGGTTGGTTACCACATGTCAAATTTGAAGACATACAACTACTGTGTCCAGATGGATCGTGGATTGGTATCTTTCTCAAAGGAGATATGCCTTCAAGACAGATATGAGCAATTATCATTATCATCTTCATTGTTGTTGCTGTATTTATTTATATTCTGTTTTTATCGCCTAACTAAGACTCAGGGCCCTTCCACACAGCCTTATATCAAGGCAGAAAACCCCACAATATCCACATGGAACTGGGTTATCTTGAGTCCACACTGCTATATATTCCAGTTCAAAGCAGATAATGTGGGATTTTATTCAGCTGTGTGGAAGGGGCTTGAAAGCTTGGGCAAAAGAAGGCTGAGAGGGGACTATCTTCATGTTGCGGCCATCAAGGAAGAGAGATTCGTCAGGGGGTGCCCAGGGGGATAGTGAAGGAGAGGTAGTCGCCAAGAGGTAGTCGCCAATAATAATAATAACAACAATAACAACAATAACAACAACAACAACAACAACAACAACAGGAAAAACTCAGCCGCTATCAAGACCTCAAAATTGAACTGCAAAGGCTCTGGCATAAACCAGTACAGGTGGTCCCAGTGTTTATTGGTGCACTGGGTGCCATGCCAAAAGATCTCAGTCTGCATTTGGAAACAATAAACATCAACAAAATCACGATCTGTCAGCTGCAAAAGGCCACCTTACTTGGATCTGTGCGCATCATTCGAAAATACATCACACAGTCCTAGATGCTTGGGGAGTGTTCGACTTGTGATTTTGTGATACGAAATCCAGCATATAGATCTCGTTTGCTGTGACATACTGTGCTTTTGTGTCAATAATAATAATAATAATGATTATTATTATCATTTATACCCCATCACCCCTAGGGGACTCGGGGTAGCTTAATGAGGCCAAGCCCAGCAATACAGCAAAATAATATAACACAAGAACACAGCAGAAAATAAACAATAAAATACAGAAACCAATATAAATAAACAATGTTTAAATGTTTGAAAGGATGTTCCATTGTGGAGTGGACAAGCTTGTTTGCAGAGACCAAGACACAGGGCAATAGATTCAAATTGCAGGAGATGAGATTCCACCTAAACATTAAGAACTTCCTGAGGGTAAGAGCTGTTTGTCAGTAGAATATGCTGCAGCCTTGAAATGTGGTGGAGTCTCCTTCTTTTCCAAAGATTTTTAAGCAGAGGCTGGATGGCCATCTGTCAAGGGTGCTTTGATTGTGTTCTCCTTCCTAGGGGCCGCAGTGGCGCAACAGGTTAAACTGCTGAGCTGCTGTACCGCTGATCTGAAGGTTGGCAGTTCGAATCTATGGGATGGGTGAGCTCCAGCTGTTAACCCTAGCTCCTGCCAACCTAGCAGTTCAAAAACATGCAAATATAAGCAGATCAACGGAGACTGCTTCGGTGGGAAGGTAAAAAACCCTCCATGCAGTCATGCCGGTCACACGACCAGGACTGTCTATGGACAATGCAGGTTTTTATGGAGCACCACCTCCAGAAGCCAGAGATGAAAGGAGAAGCCTTTGCCTTTGTCTGTTTATTTGTGTTTCATTGTAACATGCCATTGGATGTTTGCCTGTGCCTGTTTATATGCTGTAATCCACTCTGAGAGAAGTATTATTATTATTACCTCACCTCTGAGGATGCTTGCCATAGATGCAGGCGAAACGTCAAGAGAAATGCCTCTAGAACATGGCCATATAGCCCGAAAAAAACCACAAGAACTGAATTATTATTATTGTTATTATTATTATTATTATTAATATTAATAATAATAATAATATTGTCAAAGGCTTTCATGGCCAGAATCATTCGGTTAATGCGAGTTTTCAAGGGTGTGTGGCCATGTTCCAGAAGCATTCTCTCATGACATTTCACCTGCATCTATGGCAGGCATCCTCACAACCTCTGAGGATGCCTGCCATAGATGCAGGTGAAATGTCAGGAGAGAATGCTTCTGGAACATGGCCATAGAACCCAGAAAACTCACAGCAACCCTATTAGTAGTAGTAGTAGTAGTAGTAGTAGTAGTATTTCCTGCATGGCAGAATGTGGTTGGACTGGATGGCCCTTGGGGTCTTTTCCAACTCTAGGATTCTATGAAAATGGCTCACAACATACAAGCCAAGCGTAAACAAAATCCTGTCCGCGTACAGATACCATTTTGAAAGTTGTGTTGTTCCGTTTTGGCATAATAAACCAGATGCAAAACCTCTCACTAATACCAGTGGGCTGCTAGATGCCTCCTTTGACCTCCTCATTCCTTCTCGGTTAGAGCTCTTACTGCTTAGACACAACCTGTGCACACATTCCTCCAGGATCCCGGCACAGACCCACCCTCCACATAGAGATCTCATCACAAGGGCAAGAGAAGATAGGGCTATCAGCAGAGCACCTCCTGCCATCAGCTCAAGAAAAGGCTTGTGCAAACACATATGCCTGCACTATCCATTGCCTCTTTACTGAGAATTAAATTCCACTGTGTTCCGCAGGGGGTATGTTCCCAGGTAAACAGTCAGTAGAGAGCAACCTTAGACAGGCACAGAAGAAAAGCACTGTATTGCTTGAAGTCTATATGTATAGAAGGGTGGAAAAATGGTATGCCATACTATAGCATGATGTACAATAGGCATGAGCAAACTTGGACCTTAACCAGGTGTTTTGGACTTCAACTCCCACAATTCCTGACAGCCTCAGGCCCTTTCCTTTTCCTTTCACTTAAGCGGCTGAGGGGGAAAAGGAAAGGGCCTGAGGCTGTTAGGAATTGTGGGAGTTGGAGTCCAAAACACCCAGAGGGCCCAAGTTGGCCCATGAATGAGCTATCTTGACCTACTAATTTGCATATGGTTTCTCATTGGCTAGACCCAACATTAAAACATTCTTAAGTGGCTAAAGGGGGAAAGGAAGGGGCCTGAGGCTGTTAGGAATTGTGGGAGTTGGAGTCCAAAACACCCAGAGGGCCCAAGTTGGCCCATGCATGAGCTATCTCAACCTACTAATTTGCATATGGTTTTTGATTGGCTAGACCCTACATTCTAACATTAAGTGACTGAGGGGGAAAAGGAAGAGACCTGAGGCTGTTAGGAATTGTGGGAGTTGGAGTCCAAAACACATGGACTGAAATTTGCCCATGCCTGATCTACAGTATGTATAAAGGTAAAGATTTTCCCCTGACATGAAGTCCAGTCATGTCCGGGGTGTGGTGCTCATCTCCATTTCTAAGCCAAAGAGTCGGCGTTGTCCATAGACACCTCCAAGATCATGTGGCCAGCATGTCTGCATGGAGCGCCGTTAACTTCCCGCCGGAGCGGTACCTATTGATCTACTCACATTTGCATGTTTTCTAACTGTTAGGTTGGCAGAAGCTGGAGCTGACAATGGAAGCTCATGCCACTCCCCAGATTCGAACCTGTGACTTTTCGGTCAACAAGCTCAGCAGCTCAACGCTTTAACCCACTGTGCCACCGAGGGCTCCCATACAGTATGTATAGAGTATCTATACAGTATGTATAGAGAATATGCAATTATATTATGTGTGAATAAGCAAATCTTGAAAGTGGTGTCTAAGACCATAGCATTATATACAGCATATATAGGACCCCTTCGAGACTTTTGGGCTATGTTTTATACATATGCGTGACACATTAAATATAAATACACACAAATACAAACACATGCACATATATAATAAGGTACTACGTCAAAAAACATGCCAATTGCCAGCACCCAAATAGTGTGACTTGAGCAAATGAGATTGTTGATGGCCATTGGACAAAAGGAATCTAAATCTTGCAGTGCCAGAATAGAGCCGTAATACTATATCTGCTTGTAATACTATACATGTTTGCGATACTATATACCTTTTACTATTTCTATCGTTGTTATTTCCAATTGAGAAGGATCCTAGACATACACAAACTTAGGTTTGCCAATGGGATTGCTCTATTTTGTACCTATGGAATGAAAAAGGCTTGAAACATCCCCATTTCAAAGCACCAAAGGGGCCAGAGGAAGGGAGTGTCATAGGGCCCTTCCACAGAGATATATAACCAGAATATCCAGGCAGAAAATGCCACAGTATCTGCTTTGAACTGGGTTATCTGCATCCACACTGCCATATATTCCAGTTCAAAGTAAATAATGTGGGGTTTTATTCAGCTGTATAGAAGGGGCCCATAGAGAAATGACCTACAACCCATCCTAGTGCTAGAGGAGGGTCACTATTCCAACCCACCCGAGGCTAATCCGCGACAAAGGTGAGTGCGGACAGGCTCTGGCTCAGAGGCAGGGAGAGTTGCCCAAAGGGAATGCAACCCGCCTTGAGAGAGATCACCAAACAGATATGATCACCAAACTGATCCACGCGCGAGAGAAACAGATGAACAGATCCGCCCTTGTGATGGGTGTCATGCCCAATCGCTCACCCCTTTTGTGTGCAAAAAGGGAGGGAGGGGAAAAAAACCCACCTGCATTGGTGGGAAAGACAATCCACGGCGCCCACCCAGATCCCAAACTATTCTTTACTTACTAACTTACATGGGGAGGTGAAAACAGAGAGGCAGAGGGTTCTCTCCTTGCGAGTGGGTTGCCCACCCGAGACACAGGCACGCAAGTCTCTTCGCAGAGCAGCAGCAGCAGCAGCCGCGTCCTCTCTTCTCCAAGGCGCCAGCTCCGCTTCCACTCCCCACTCCCCACCCCACGCGTGATGTCACCCCCGAGTGGGCGGGGCTTGGAACCTAGAGGGAGCCAATCGGCGGCCACGCGAGGAGGGGCATTCAGCTGGAATTAACTGGGGCTGGGACAAGCAGGAGCCGGTCCATTCATAAATATCCACGCACCCAGACACTCGGGGGGCAGATGGAGGGGTTCAGGGCAAGGGTGCATCTACACCAGGTCTGAGGCTGTTAGGAATTGTGGGAGTTGAAGTCCTAAACGCCTGGAGGGACCAAGTTTGCCCACGCCTGGTCTACACTGTAGAATGGATGCAGGGCAAGTATGCCAAGTAAGAGGGAAGGCAGAGGGAATAGACTGCATTCCAGGTGGAGAGACTCAAGCAAGGAAGCCAAGGCCCTGGATCTGAGCAGGACTCAGAGACAGGAGGGCATGGCTGTTGTTGTTGTCTATTTGTACCCCTCTTCTTGTCTCCACAAAGGGCTGTGGAGGCCCTTTGTTTATAGGTAAAGGTTGTCCCCTGACATTAAGTCCAGTTGTGTCCACCTCTGAGGGTTGGTGCCCATTTCCAAGCCGAAGAGCTGGCGTTGTCCATAGACACCTCTAAGGTCATGTGGCCAGCATGACTGCATGGAGAGTTGTCCAGTGGTTCTCAACCTGGGGTCCCCAGATGTTTTTGACTTCAACTCCCAGAAATCCTAACAGCTGGTAAACTGGCTGGGAGTTGTAGGCCAAAACACCTGGGGACCCACAGGTTGAGAACCACTGGTTGTTACCTTTCCACTGGAGCAGTACCTATTGAAGCAGAGAGTGTTTGAGGACCGGAACATGCATAGGGATACCAAGGTGCTTGTCTATAAAACTATTGTCCTCCCAACCCTGCTCTACACCTGCGAGACGTGGACTGTCTACAGACGTCACATGCAACTCCTGGAACGATTCCATCAGTGTTACCTCTGGAAAATCCTGCAAATCTCTTGGGAAGACAAGCAGACAAATGTCAGCGTGCTGGAAGAAGCAAAGACCACCAGCATTGAAGCGATGGTCCTCCGCCATCAACTCCACTGGACCGGCCACATTGTCCGGATGCCCAACCACTGTCTCCTAAAGCAGTTACTCTACTCCGAACTAAGAATGGAAAACAGAATGTTGGTGGACAGGAAAAGAGATTTAAAGATGGGCTCAAAGCCAACCTTAAACACTCTGGCATAGACACTGAGAACTGGGAAGCCCTGGCCCTTGAGCGCTCCAGCTGGAGGTCAGCTGTGACCAGCAGTGCTGTAGAATTTGAAGAAGTACGAATGGAGGGCGAAAGAGAGAAATGTGCCAAGAGGAAGGCACATCAAGCCAACCCTGACCGCATTCCACCTGGAAACCAATGCCCTCACTGTGGGAGAGCATGTGGGTCAAGAATAGGGCCCCACAGTTACCTACGGACCCACCAGTTCACTGATCTTGGAAGACTATTCTACAAACTTAGGTTTGTAGATAAGAAAACCTAAGATAAGAAGATCTATTGATCTACTCACATTTGCATATTTTCTAACTGCAAAGTTGGCAGAAGGTAGGGCTAATAGCGGGAGCTCATGCCGCTCCCTGGATTCGAACGTGTAACCCTTTCAATCAGTAAGTTCAGCAGCTCAGTGGTTTAACCCACTGCGTCACCAGGGGCTCCATCCATCCCTTGTTTATAGGGTCACCTTAATTCAAAATTGACTTGAGTGCAGTCAACAATGGTTGAGGGGGACGTGAGAGAAGCCTCCCCGCAGGATCGTAACACATCCAGGCATCCCCTGGCAATGCCTTTGACTTTTTCACACCAGAAGCAATTTGCTATATGCAACCAAACTAACAAACTAACTAGCAGACCTTTTCAGGACCAACTATGACAATAATCTCAATCAACATTGAAGGCATGTTAGCTGCCAAACAGCTGCTTTATGAACTGTGCTGAAATAAGAAATATGGTGTGTTGTGTGTCCAAGAAACTCACAAGGATAAACAACAGAAATGACAAAAACTCCCAGGAATGATCTTAGAGTTGAAAAGACCAAATGTACAGTATGGAAGCGCTGTCTTTGTAAAACCAGGCCTCCAAGTCAGCAGTGCCCATAACGTCGAAGAAAACAATATAGAGGTTATAACAGTAGAGCTTAGCGACACCACGATTACCTCTATGTACAAGCCCCCAAATAAAGAGTGATGTTTCTCCCCTCCTGATAACTTTGATAGGCACCAAAGGGCGGTAGTAATTGGTGGCTTTAACAGTCATAGCCACGTATGGGTCTATGCTCAGGAGGATAGAAATGGAGAGGCTGTCCTCTCCTGGGCTGAACTGCTTAAACTATCGCCATCTCCCACCCTACAACAGTGGGAGATGGCACTGAGGATATAACTCCAACCTCCTATTTGTGAGTGACAGTACCAAACACACAGCATCGGCCAATAATATGCCAATTGTTTCCAAATATAAAACCTCAGGAAGTTCAATTTAAATGAAGATTTAACTTCAGAAAGGCAGATTGGTTAAAATTCTCTGATATGTTAGATGACAAGATCATGTTAGTTCTCCCAATCCCTGAAGAACAATGGTTGAGAGCCCTCTGCACATGCTCAGGAGTAAGCTTGCACTCTGGAATTACCAGTATTTCAAGGTAAAGGTTTTCCCCTGATGTTAAGTCCAGTCCTGTTGAACTCTGGGGGTTGGTGCTCATCTTCATTTCTAAGCCGAAGAACCGGCGTTGTCCATAGATACCTCCAAGGTCATGTGGCCAGCATGACTGCATGGAGCGCCGTTATTTACTTGAGTCCAATGTGCCATCGAATCTAATGCATACCTCAATTTTCAAAACTCTGAATAAAAAAAAGTATTTTCTGCCCAATGTAATGTGCAGCGGCCAAAAGTGCACTCTTTGTCATTTAGCCATTACAGTGGCTGCCTGCTTAGGATTTGTTCTTTAAAAACAAAAGTGTTAGAACAACAAAGCTTTCAGCAATGGAAAGGAATATCTTCATGTGCTATAAAACAAACCCACTTTAATTGCCTTGGTTCAGTACTATGGAATCCTGGAGGCTGTAGTTTGACAAGTTTTTGAGCCTTCTCTGCCAAAGGTTGCTGGTGCCTCACTAAATTACTGATCCCAGGATTGCACAGCATTGAGCCCTGACAATTAAATTAGAGATGATGCTCCTGGAAGAGGAGCTCCAGTGGCAGCTCCTGAAGCACTTTCCCCTTTTGCTTTGGCTCAGCACAAACATTACCGTATTACGCAAATCCAGTGCACACCCCAATTTTGACAAGGTCATTTAGCCAAAAAAGGTGAGCATTAGATTCAAGTAAGTATGGTAGTTTCAATTAGCTCTGCATCATCTTTCCATCCTGGGCTTGGAAAGATGATGCAGAGGGACGGGCTTTAGCACAGCAGGTTAACCACCAGCTGCAGTAAATCTTGCCAACCAAAAGGCTGACAGCTTGAAGCTCGGGTCAGGGTAAGCTCCTGGTCTTTAGCACAGCTTCTGTCTACCTAGCAGTTGAAAAGCAAATGTTGGAGTCTAGCCTGTACTTGTGTCTAATGATCAGGGTACTCTGGATGTTGGGAGTGACAATGAGGTTCGTGTGTCTAATGATGAGGTTGATCTAGATGCAGAGAATCTAGATGCAGAGATTCCTGTTCAAAGTGACTTGTCTGATGAGAATGTTCCTGAAGGGTTTGGGGATGATGGCCTGTTCCCTGTGGCTGAATTACTACCAGAGAATTCCCAAGGCTTGGAGCCTGAGAAAGGCTCGGCACCTGATCCAGCTGCAGAAATTAATGAGTTAGTAGATAGGAGAAGTATTTTTAGTCAGCAGAGAAAAGCAAACCAGGCTCTCAGGCGCTCTGCCAGATTGCAAGAGAGACTGGCAGCAGATTCAAGGCTGAGAAGAAATCCATTCCTGGCCACTTGGGATATAGAGTAGATTAGGGGATAAAAGTGCCAAGTACAGAATCTGTAGCCAGATGAAGCAACATTGGAATTGAGTCAAGACTTTGTCTCAGGTCCCTGGAAGCCTTGCCTTGGATAGATTCCTGTATTAAGTGCCTTGTAATTTCCATGCTAAGGTGCCTTGTTTGATTCATGCTCAAGTTCTTTGGGTTTTTTGCCTTGGAAGTTCCAGTATTTGTTTTGATGAACTCTGATGGACTAATTTGTGGATTATGGTTCCTGACTATCTTTTCTAACCATTTGGATTTACCTAATTTTTGTGGCTTGCTTTTTTACTGTAACTGCTTTTTATTATCTTCAATAAACCACTTGCATTTTATTCAGCTGTGTGGTGTTTGAAGTCAGAGGGTATCCTGGCCTGGAGTGTAACAGCAAATGTGAGTAGATAAATAGGTATCGCTTTAAAGCGAGGAGGTATTTAAGGCAGCCATAAGACAATGCCAGAAAAATGCAGGCAATTCAATCAAGGAGGAAGTTTACGAGCAAAGCTCTTCGGGAGGAAAAGTGGAGCGATAGCACCAACTTCCCCCCGCCCCAATGCCCGGAACCGAGCACAGCCTCCAAGATGCTAAAGATGGGAAAGCCTACATATACCTCTATCTGTGTATAGTTGTCTCTCTTGTCAGTGTATAGCAGCATTGAATAATTGCTGTATATGTGTTCTGTGATCTGCTCTGAGTCCCCCTCGCAGTGAGAAGGGCTGAATATAAATACTGTAAATAAATAAATCCCTCCCTGGCTCACTATTGTGCTTTTAAATTCACAAATCTGATGTGCCTACTCAGCATGGATCTTTTTATATATAAGTAGTAATTCATGTTGAGGTCTCAAGCACCCTTTCTTGTTTAGGAACCTGTTCAGTACCCCCGGGGACTGGTTAGCAAAAGGTCTTTTGCTGTCTCTTTCTTCCCAGTACTCCAGCAACCTGCAACGAAGAGGTAAAGCTACCTAACTAGTTATACAGCAATGAAACCACAACCTCTCTAACCTTCAGGGCTAAAGGTCAGATTGAATCAATCCCCGGTTACCTTATC